CTGCTGGGAGGGGCAAAGACAGTCTATTTCAAGCAAGGGACTGTTGGTAGGTTTACCAGGCTCCAGTGGATGGACCCACACTGAAGGACATTTGGAAGCACAAATTAGATTCTATAGACTTTATTATATACATATATGTAATAGACTACATTAAATTGGGTGGGGGGCAGTAAGGGGGAGGTGCAGATAGGGAAGGGAATATAAATACCATCAAATTACATTGCATGAAAATTGCCAAAATTCAATTTAAAATGTGACGAGGTGCATTTATCAAAGGCAACTGAATCTTGTCTCATTTTGTCCCTACACCCTCATTGCTGCTTATGGTGTCTTCTTCTCATTTTGTTTTTATCTAATTTTATGAGATTTGTGTTAAATACTTACAGTTTCACTGTGGTTTTTTCAGTTCCTGTTCCTTATCTACTCATGCTTCCGAGGCTACAAAATCCACTTTAAAAGGGGTGTGTCAGGAATTCACAATGAATATAATTGCATGTACATTTGAGTTTTGTTCTGTCCTTTCGTCATGTTTACTATGCCACTCTATCCTTTGTTTCTTAAGTGCGTCCTAGTTAGCTGTTGTTCAATGTTGCATAGCTACAGCCTCAGAAGTGAAGCCATGCATGCCCCTGGGTCCTTGTAGGGAAGAGGTCAGGGTGGGTGGGTTGAGGCTCCTGGCTGGGATGCAGAGGACAAGTTTCCTCCATACTTATGTTCAGGGTGAGCCAAAAGGTGAGCCTTACATAAAAATCCTTTCTAGCCTCTGCTAACTTCACATTTATTCATTCTGCCTTATACAGAGGGTTCTGTAGCCAGAGCGAAGACAGAACGTAGAACAGCAGTGCAGCTTCTTTGACTGAGTCTGATGAGGCCAGTGGAAAGCAGGATAGTGATTATTGATAGATGAATCAGGTCAATCCACCAGGACACAGATAAAACCCCAGCGGGATAGAGTTTTTTAGCAGAGGAAATTCACAATTCCCTTTGGGGTAGGGAAATTGTCAGCCCAAGGGTTGTGCGCTGAGGTTTTTTTATAAGGGGGGGGCGGTTTTGGAGGATGCAGAAGGTGGGAAGATATTTTTTAAAAAGTTAGGCAGGGAAGCTGGAGCCCAGGGCTTATCAGAACAGCTTCTGTTAAAACCACCCCCTTCCATGTGTCAGCCAGGATCTGGGTCAAAAGGTGGAGTCTGTTTAACCTTTAAGATCATCAAAGAGGGAGCATGCTGCCTTTGGCCAAAAGGTGCAGAAAAGTCTGCTTCTCTTGACTTCAAAGACCTTGAGGCCCTGTTGGGGAGGGGACTGCTGCAGATCTGAACCCTACCAGTTATGACTTAAAGTTGAGGTTACCACCTAGTCTGCTCTGTTTTTTCTGGTTTTTGTCTCTTGCCAGCCACGTCCTGTCCTGTCTTTGTTAGCTCTCTATTGCTGTGATGAAAACACTGACCAAACCAATTTGGGGAGAAAAGAGTTTATTGGGCTTACAGCTCACAATCCATCATCAAGGGAAGCCAAGGCAGGAACTCGGGGCAAGAACCTAGAGGCAGGAGCTGCAGCGCAGACCATGGAGGAAAACTGCTTACTGGCTTGCTCCCCTGGCTCCTGTTCAGCTTAATTTATTATACAACCCAGGACTACCTGTCCAGGGGTAGCACTGCCCACAATAGGCTGAGCCCTTTTATATCACCCAATAATCAAGAAAATGCCACAGAGACATGCCCATTGGCAAATCCAATGGAGAAAATTCCTCAACTGAGGGCCCCTCTGTCCAGGTGTGTCAAGTTGACAACTGAAGCTTTCCAGCACACTTCTTATGCTTGACTGACTTGTTACAACAGGGGTGTTGGTGGCAGTAGTCTAGGGAACTGCCAAGTTGGTTCCCCATGACAAATAGAACTGGCAGCCTAGGAAAGACAGAAGACCAAGATGCAAAGAAAGAGAGCATAACAGCTTTACTGAAGCAAAAGAGCTCACTGCAGGATGGAATCTGTTAAGGTTCAGATAGCCCTGCCCCCTCACTAACAGGATCCCCAGGACTTCTCATGCTCCTGAGAAAAGGGAACCTAGCTGATAAGCCTTGGTCTTTGAAGTCAGGAGAAGCAGACTTTTCTCCACTGTTTGGCCAACACAGCAGGCTTCCCCTTTGATCTCCAAAGAGGACAGGTTTTAACAGTCCTGCTCTCCCACTCCCACCCCAACTTTAAAATAAATACATCTTCCCGCCTTCTGCAGGAAGCAGAAGCCTCCCTTTTAAAAAGACCCCAGCTCAAGACCCAGGCAGACATTTTCCCTGCCTGGAAGGGAATCTGTCCCATCAGAATCCACTCAGTAAATAGTGCTTGGGGGCCTTATAGAGTTGCTGGACCCTCCTCTCCTCCATTATTAGTTCTGTTCGGTGTCCTCCTGAATGTACCTTCTTCCTGCTGCTTTCTACTGCTATGCCCCTCAGTAGCAAGAAGTTACCACCTTGGAGGACCTGCTCCCTCTTTCCTTCTCCACTTACATCTTTTCTCACTCTCCCACAGAAGGACACCTCATTAATTGAATCTTGGAGTTTGCTCCCTCTCTCCTGGGTGTACATCCCATCAGAATGATGTCCTCTGAATCTCCTCACTCAGGCAGATGGCAGGGGGCAGAGCAGACCCCACTTTAGCTTTTGAAGTGCTAGTGGTTGATAATTTTAGGGGTGAACAAGAGGCTTTAGAGTCAGGTTTGTCGATCCTCTTTATTCATCAGGCCCTGCCTTGAAATATGAAAAATCAGCTCCATCTGAAGTCACTGAATTTGCTCAAATGGCAAATGATTTGTTATGTGTCCTTCGCCACAAAAGAACTTACTCTGATTCCGACAGTCACTTGGACGGACTTGGAGCTTCCTATACTGCCATTCTCCTGCAGGCTTCTCTTTAACAGTGGCGTGTTTCACAACTGACAGGAAAACATCTGCCTTTCAGGGGCTCCCAGGCAGCAGCCAAGTGAGTGGAATTTTCCACTCTCCAAATGGAGTTCTTCTTCAGCCAGCCAGTGGCTTCCAGGCCATAGGCTGGAAGGCACCTCCCTCCCCCTACATGGAGAAGCAGCTAGCTGCAGCTCTTCTCTGCTCTCCCCAGCCCCAGCCTGCAGCAGATCTTGGGGTGGGGGAGGGCATGGATTTCATCAGAGAAGGTGCCTGCAGTGAAGGTGGGCTTACAGGTGCTGGAGACTGGGAGAGGGGAGGGCTGTGTAAGGCCTGGCCGTGGTTCTGAACAGGGACAATGAAACACTGCAACTGTTGGTCTGGGTTGCGGAGACTCCTAGACCTGAGGAATGTTCTAGTACTTCCACTCTGAGCATGAGGTGGGGGCCCTGGGACAAGTTTTGACTTGAGTTCTTGGAGAGGAAGTTCCCAAGATCCTTCCCCCTTTCTTCCATTCTGCTGTGAAATAATTTCTGTGTTTTTTTTTTGTTGTTGTTGTTGTTTGTTTTTTGAGACAAAAACAGGGTCTCCCTATAAGCCCAGATGGCCTGGAACTCGCTGTGTAGACCAGGCTGCCCTCCATCACACAGAGATGTGCCTGCATTTGCCTCCCAAGTGCTGGAATTAAAGGTGTGCCACCATCCCCAACTGTCACGGAATAATTTGATCCTCAGTATTTAGTTCTGACCCTTGAGGACTGAGCCATTTTCTATTAGGCCAAAATTCAGGAAAAGGAATCTTCTCACATAAAAAAGTTCTAGGAAATGGCTGACTTAGGAAACAGTTCTTTTCAGGGAAGTGAATCACACTTCTGAAGCCTACCTTCTGCACCCCCTCCTGCTATGCTGGACATCAAGTGAGGCTAGAGTAACTATAGGGCAGCAAATGCTCATTAGGCACTCTCCTGCTGGGCAGGTCTCCTCTGCCAGAGTCATGGCTGAAGAACAAGTTGGAATCCTGACCCATACAGGGTGCTCTGTAGCTCTGCACCAGGTGCCCAAACCTTTGAGCCTACAGAAGTGTCCCTTCCCCTTCCTATGAAGAGCTGGCCACTCCCTGGCTGAAGCCACTGCAGTGCCTCACCCACTAACACCCAGGGTTCTCCAGACCCTGGTGCAACCCCTGGGAATTCTGGATGAATTGAAACCCAACATGGTGGTTTAGAAGGTAAGAAGTGAAATACCAGCCAAGTTCCCAGACACAGGAAGAAGGACAGGTGGACGCTGAGGGATTGACATTGGGGAACCACAAATCAGCACTTTTGGCAAGACACCCCTGGAACTGGACCTCCAGTGTTGCTCTGATGGCTCCAGACTTGTAAACTTGGGGTGCCCCATGTGAAGTGCAAATGCGGGCACAGCCACTGCACTTGGGTATAGTTTCCTGGCAAGTTTCGCTAGGGGACAGTGTGGTGGGAGGTCAAGGAAGGCCTGTGGCCTCTTCCCGCTACTGCTATAGAGTGCAGCTGCACTGCCTTGTCACAATTAGGGGATGCTGTGGCACTGAGCCTCTCTGGGGCTTGTAAGACTCCCCACCCACTTAGGGACAAGGGAATCATGTGCCCTCCAACCCCAGTCACTCTCAATCAACTTGAGTGTGCAATGGGAGGTGGGTAGATAAGAGAATGGCAAGGGACAACCAGCTCTCACCGCAGCTCTAAGGACCTCCTCAGTCCAGGAGTCCAGAGCCCCCACTCAGAGGGCACCATGGAACATCCCCTAAGATGGCTTGTATGGATAGAAGGTGGCTTCTCCCCTGAAGGGCAGGTACCGCAGCTGGTAGTACAGCCTTGGAGATTCTACCCGTAATCATTCTGCACCCTTTCTGGGCATTCTGGGGATATGGAGCCAGGGGTGGGCTAAGCTCATATATCCCCTCCCCGGAACAGCCAAATACCCAAAAAGAGGACTCCACCTAGAACTCTGGTCAGCTGCTGCCCATTGCAGGTGATCAGAAACCTGCCCAGTTGAGGATCCCCTGTCTGCCTCACCCTCATCCAGGGAAGATGTCAAGTGAACTCAGTACAAGACCAGTCAGGGGACAGAGAATCACAGCATAGGTGCCACCATGTGCACTTTATTGAATTCAGTGTGGACAGATGGATAACATTTGCATATGCATGGAGTAAAGGGTAAGGACCTCAGCCCAGGGTGAGGGGAGCTATGGACTGTGGAGGACAAGGCAGGACTAGAAGCCCCCAGAATCTGTTATCTTCTGTGAGAATGTTTGCAAGATGGCGACTATTTGGTGGAGTAAATGATGATGAAAATAATGATCACAAGGATGCTGAAGACCAGAGAGCTGATGTTCAGGCACTTGGCTGTGGAGGCGTAGGCCTGGGCTCCAGTCATATCACCCACCATCTTCCTGTCCCTAGACTGGAGGAAACCAGATGGTTAGTGGTCCTGGACCAGTCAACTGAGAGGCAAGTGCTCTGACCCAGTTCCCCTATCATTCTCCATGCCTACTGTAGCCTCTACCACCTTTAGCCATGGGCCTTTTTCTCTTTTCACATAGTCTAGGAGGCTCTAGTACTGGTCACTCACCCCACCATGGGGCATTGTTTCCTGTGAGTCTTTTGCACACTTTGCACACAGCCTGGAGTCCCAGTCTGCAGGATAAAGGGGCATTCCAGGAACTGAGGAGTATGGAGTAGGATAGCCTGACCACAGGATTCCCAGGCAGCTCCCTGTATGCCTACCTTGATAGTCTCCTAACACACACACGAGACAATGCACACAAACTCCCACACACATGTACAAACACAAGGCCCCACACACCCAAGTGCCATCTGGGCAAGTCAAGCTTGAGGGTCACATACATCTTAGACCATCATTACCCCATTTCCACCCCACATACCTTCACGGAGTAGGCATAAGCTATGAAACCCAGGCAACAGAAGTTCATGAAGAGTGTGTTGAATAAAGACCAGACCACATGATCAGGCTTGGAGATCTCACTGGGCATGTTGATGACGGTGGTTGTCACAGAAGTTGAACCAGGGGGTCCCCCCAGTACTGCTGCCTCTTGCTGTTCCTTAGGCATCTCCCGGATTTTTAGGCTGTAAGAGTTGTGAACCAAGAAGAGATGGGATATGTGGTCCACGGTAAGATGTCTTAAGCAACTTCAAGGCCTGCCTTTTCCCAAGCGGGGTCTGTTTCTCAGAAAAGTTTCCTTCTGTTCGTAAATGGTGTTTCCTAGGAACTGGAGTATAGACGAAATAGTGTTTTCATTTGTCACTATGGGTGTGTTCAGGAAGAGCCAATGCTAAGACTTTTCAAGCTGCCCTAGGGAATCCCCTGAGGCTGGAATTTGAAGAGCTGGTCAACAACTCCTCTGCCTTTGTGGGGAATAACCCCAACTGCATAAATTACAGTAAGTGGAGTAATGTGATATCCCTGCTATGTTTTGAGGAGTGATGGCTTTTCTATGCATGTTTTTAATCTTACCTCCGGTTAATCTGTTTTTTTTTTCCCTCTGTAGAACACCCATGCTGGAAGCTAAAGTTGAAAATAAAGGCCTGTAAAACTGAAGTTCTCCAGAGATAAGTGCACCCAAAATTCTGACCACAACAGCTCTATGTGGTTTTTTTTAAAAAAAGGCCAAAATGATCCGTTAAAACCCAGCTGGGGTGGGATGTGGCATGTGGCATGGCATGTATGCACCTTCATGAATATACTGGCATTATGGAGACTGCACCATTTTGTGAACGCTTGTATGTCCCTTTACTGCCTTAAGTTTCTTACAAGATAGGAAGCAGCAGAGCACCCCGTCTGTACCCCAAACCTGTTAGGGTTCCAAAGAGCAGCAGTTTCCCCCCTCCCCAACAGGGACCTCACCTTGACCTTTGGAGTCAAGGGAAACAAACTCTGCTGAGAAGCAGCCTGCCTTTCCTCTGATCTCCAAAGATAAGATAAGCAGATTCTACCTGATAACCAGAGATTTTAGAAGCTGTTTTTCTCT